TAAACGTAAACAATGGAAAAGATGCATATTTGCTGTTTGTATTTTATATGATACTAATATTTGAATATTACATGCATTATTATTATTGGGTACAGTTAGATAAGACATCAGTTTTATCAAAATCATCTTTAAAATACAACTGTACTTTTTAACTACAGTAAATGGATATATAGTTTGGTCAATGATGTAGCCAGGGCCAACAGTACATATGTTAATTTTATATCTTGTGTATGATGCGACCCCCTTAAAATTAGGTTTTCAAAAATCATATGATACATGAGTATATACAGTATACACAAAATGTTATGCATCTTAGAGTACTTATCCGTTATGCTAATAAAACATTTTAATGTTTTGTAGATTCAAGTGTAAGAGTTTGATAAAAAAGAAAAAGCATTTAAGACAAATCTATAAGTAAATAAATAAGTAAAGCTAATACCATCCTTATTTATAAAGTTGCATTTTGGTTAGCCTCATCAGATTATAGCAGTGGTAATGAAAGACTGTTTAGTTTTGTCTAAAGAGTAATCAGCACCATTTAAAAAATATAAAGGAATGCAATAACTTCAGCAAAACTGATTTGTCAGCAAAAGAAATATTTTATGACTTTCTTATAAGCAAGAAAGACAGATATATATATATATAGACATTGGCATTTTGCTGAGATTTCATCACTACAACATAAAAACAGAAAAGACACCTTAAACTTAATATGTTCATTTTTAGTAATTGCCAACTTTACTTCAAGTTTGTTGTTTATGATAATTTTTTTTTAGTCATTTCAACCCAAGCAAGAATGCCACTAGTATGCAGGGGGTTACAGAGAGTGAACATGAGAGAAAAGACTGGGTATAGAGTGGATTGGGGAAAGGATAAAAGATAGCTGGGATTCAAGAAGATGATTGATGCTGCATTTAAATTTTTGAATATTGTAGTTATCAGGGAAGCACATAAACAGAAAGGAGTCCCACAGGCAGGAAGTGTCAGGAAAGAATGTTGGAGTAGAAGTGGCAGTTACATTTAATGATTTCAACAGTAAAAGGGTAGGACCTAGATGCTAATCTAGTAGCACATTTAAATTCATGTAGTTGGCGCATCAGGGGAAAAAAGCTTGTCAGAGTAATTGCCATGAAAATATTTGTAGAAAAGACAGAAGGAAGCCAGTCACATCGGTGAGAAAGTGTTTGAAGTCAAGAAGCCAAGTCAGGATTGATTACATTGCAGATCCTTCTTTGGATTTTGTCAAGGACCTCGATATAGCAACAGTATTTAATGCACAGATGAATGGTAGATTTGTAAATGTACATCATGGACCCTGATGAGAAAAACTTTTTGGCACGACACAGTGACCCAACTTTCCTTGCAGTAGATGCAGCTATTGATTCAATGTAGCCATTCCACTTCGTCAGTTGAAAAAGTGAGGCCAAGAAGGCATAATGTGTTAATCTCCAGGAGTCTAGCATCAGCCATGCTGATGGCGGGCAGGAAAGTTTCTATATGGTGGTTAAATGAGAATAGTTTCATTTTGGAAGCATTAAAATTTACAAGCTATTTCCTGCCTCAGTTGGAGGTCCTTTTCAAGAGCAGCAGCCATGTTAACTATGCCAGTTCTGATGGATTTGCTATTGAAACAGGAGTAAATGGTAGTCACCTGCATAAATGCCTACATGGGAACTGATAATATCAGGAAGATCAGAAACAGCATAGGACCCAGGATAGAGCCTTGGGGGACACTCACATTCGTGTGACAGGATCTGGAAACAAATGTGTTCAAAATGACTTTCATTTCATGATTTGGTAGGAACAAGTGGATTAAATCAAACAATCATCCTGTAATATAGCCCGGAAGCTTCCAAACTCTGTCAAATGCCTTTGAGATATCTAAAGCCACAGCTCAAGCTTTGCCGTTATTATCAAGAGCTTGATATATATATTCAGTGATGGTCGTTAGCACATCAGCAATAGACTTGGCAAAATGGAAGCCATATTGTTTATCAGAGAGTAGGTTGTGAGAGGTAAGATGCTTAACCACTTCAGAAATGATTAAAGCCTCGAGGAAAGCAGGAAGCAATGAGGCAATAGTTGTAGTGTTTGGAGAGAACTGGAGCCAGATTGGGAGCACATTTCTTTAAGACAATGGTTGGAGTCCTGTCACTGTTTGCCTTATGGGAGTCAAATTTAGAAATGATGTCAGAGACCAATGATGGGGTTATGAGCATATCACTATCCTCTACTATAGTAGATCCTCTGTTTGAGGGGGGAAATTAAGTGTGGGTAATCGAAATAAGTCAAGTGTTGGAAGAGAATTTCTGCACAAAGTATTCAACTATATCTGCTGTAGATGTCAGGACTTTGAATTGATTGAATAGAAGAGAAGAGGAATTGAGGATCTACCATTTTTCAGCATACTCTTGCCAATAATCTTTAGAACTGAACTTGCAAGATGCTATACGCAGTTTCATTCTATCAGCAAACAGTAACTTTGCTTCTTTGAGGACATGCTTGCACTCATTATAAGCAGAGACAAAGAGATGTCTGTTGCAACCAGACATTTTGCTCTGGTACAACCAAAAGTGGTTCATGTGGGCTATAGCAGCCAAGCATGCATATGAGAACCAAAGAGATGAATGCAATTTAACTTGGTTGCCAGGTAGATAAAAAAGGCACAAATTAAAACATTTTTGAAGCATCATCTCTTATCTATTTGTAAACAGTTTGATGATATAAATTGTTTTTATATATATATATATATATATATATATATATATATATATAAAAATAAAATACTAAAACTATAATCTTGTATGTTTGTTTGTGCAATCTTAAATGATACACAATACCCCAAACAATTTAAGAGCATGTTGTACCTTGGAGCCCCTGCTGAGTACAGTGCAGTGCCAAATTTCAGTAAAATTAGACAAGGGATACTTGAGCTAGGGCCGTTTTTACAACATTGTTAATAAGAAATTCAGTATTTGTTTTCAATACATATTCTTATATCAATCCGTGTATAAATAAAAACACTTGTAGATTATATTCCAACTATTATGTGTGTGAAAAATAAACATTCATAATACATTATAAAAACATTAAATAATTTTAAATATATAACACAATATATATTTATACAGTTCTCAACATGACAATAGAACTTTTTTTTTTTTTTTTATAAACAAATATCTGATGTTTGGTAAGTACTTTATAGGTTTAGACACTATGTGGATGTGCTGTGAAACAATTATAGTATATGAATTGATGGTAATTAAATAGATGCATGCTGGTTTGCTGCCATTACATATTTTGAAATAAATGTGAGGAAGAAATAAGTATGCATAATAAAAAATATAATTGCTGTTTTATTTTTTTGGAATGACCATCACCTTTGAAAATTATATGGTAAATACTAAAATTGGTATAAAAATATAAAATTGGTTACTATTATTACTTGAAGGGAAAGGCCTTTTGAAAGGTATTTTGTATTATAAACTACTTTTAAAAGGAACCCAATGGGTTTATGGGTGAACTATAAAATTCAAGGAAATTTAATTGGAATTTAAAGAAAATACAAAAAGATAGAGAAAAAGTAAAATGCCCAAGTAAAATCTCTAAAGAAAATAAATTCACTGAAATCAATTCTATAATGAACAAATAAAAAATGTACTTAGAAGTCAGTTTTATAGCCAATATAAAAATATTAACATGAATTTGCTTAGAATTAAAATAAATCAGCATTATAAATTAGCTACATGACAAATGTGTAATATTTTAAGAGTGGATGACTTGATATTGGTTAAGATAAGGTGACAAGGATGGAGGGTGTTGGGGTTAGTAAAAATTCATGAGGATCTGTGCAGAAGCATAAGGGCAAGAGAATCAGAAGGACATTAAGAAGTTGCTTAGATTTATTTATTTTATTAAAGAAGCAATCATTTGATATTTTGAACTGAAAGAAAAAATATTGTTAAGGAAAATCAACCAAATTCAAAGATCTTCATCTGTAAGCATTTGGGATGACTTATCTAGAAAAAAAAATGTTCAAAGCAAGTGAATTTATGAAACATTAGAATATAAAATTACCAACAATCCTTATCAAAAATAGAACGTTAATTCTTAAAATATTCTTATTCTATATAAAATTGACATTTTTACAAGACAAAAGGAAAATAAGTAATGAGGAAAGAAAAAAAAAATCAAGTGAAGGAGATATAAGATTTAACTAGTTTTATTTTTTAAAAAGGTTTGTATAAGAGCAGAAAGGGATGTGGCCAACAAATTATTGCTGACTTAAGTAATTATTTCATTGAAATTTTCTTTTGACACAAATGCACATTCATAATTTTGCAATAAACAATTCAAATGATAAAGCCTTTTTATTATGGAGTTATTTTTTTTTTAAACAATTACATGAAATATGTTGTACCACATGAGGTGTTGGGCTATTTATTTGGTATAATCAAGATATATCTAAATAGGTATGTATCATTTACTATTGTAAATTTGGCTTTACTTCTCTTGGATTTCAGTTCTTACAAAGTTTGTCTGCTAGAAACTATTTTTGGGAAAGAATAGCTATTTTTGCTAAAACACTAATTGAAGCAAATAAACATTGATTTGGCAATTGATTCCCTAACCCCAAAATATTGTATATATTCCATGTAACATTTTAGAGTTCTCTATCAATAATGTTAAATCTTGAATATCATTAAATACATACAATTCAAAATCAGAATTCGAAATTTCCTCACTGAAATTTTATCCATTACATAAAACATGAAGTTTAAAATGGTAATGAATTGATGATCTGTTCCTTTTGCTTTACTGGGCAAAGTCAAGTAGAAATTAGAAACTGCTACTCAAGATTTTTATGAGATAGCATCTAACTCCAAGGAATTTTTTGTTGTTAACAAGCAAAGTGATACACCTGTCTTTTTCTGTGGCTTATTTTCATCTACAACAGTCATGAAGGCTTTGTCTTGGTTTACAACACTCCCATTACTTACCTGCCTAAAATCTCTAACAATTCACCAACTCCATTGAATTGTTCTGTTTCATAGATGAACCTGGAAATTGAGAAAAATAATAAAATTATATTTTTATATGTACAGGCATAAGCTAAATTTTTGGTTGAATAAAATTTATTCAATATAAAAATATTTGCTACAACTTTTTTTCATTAACAAAGGAACTGATAAACAATGATCAACTAAAACAGCTAAGAGAGAAAGCAGCTAGACTGAGTGTTCACAATATCTAATGAGGCTTAACAATAACATATAGTCAGCAATAGATTATAATCGGGAGAGGGGGATACAATCATAGTGAGGCTGGCTTGGGGATAGAGACAATTAGGAACTGATAATCAAAGATTACATTGAACATGATCTTAGATGATCCCCAACTGGAGTTAAATCAAAAAGTGAAACTAGTAAAATGAATTGCTCTTGCAACATGTGATTAATCCTAAATATTTTTTTTCTTTTGTATTGCCTGCAACTATTTGAGTCTTCAAAGCATTAGTGCCTAATAAATACATGGAAAGTTATTGGAGTTTTAGCAAGAATGAATGCTCAAATAGAAACTGCAATTAAAATTGACATTTAAAGAATGTGATTGAATTCAAGGACTTCTGGGCCTTTGACAGAAATTTTACTTTCTCTAGAGCAGACTATTATTTCTGCAATCTGTCCATGGTGTGTGTGCTTTCTATGGAAAACAAGATTTTATTTTGTATTTTACTCAAGCTTGTCTCAAATGAATGACAAATTTAAAACTATTGCCTGAGAGCTATCTAAAGACAAATTATGGCTGCTGGAATTTTGAGAAATCTCATGGTGCCAATGAAGTTATTCATAGAAACAGAAGCAGAAAACAAAACATCCAGGGCAAGAAAGACGCTTTGTCACTAAACAAAAGAGACTTTAGAAAAAGAAACCAACGAGTCTGATTATGAATGTCTTCAATACAGCAAAGAGAAACTATAATAAACAAGATAGAAAGATAATACTAACAATAAGTCAATAAGTCAGATTAAGGAAGGAGTAAGAAAGAGAGGAAAAGAAATTTAGTTCTAAAAAGAGACTTTCTTGAGGTTTTGTTCTAAGTTTATAAATAAAGAGCTCTAAATATATTCTGGCAAACATAAATATAAAACAAAGTTCTATTAATGAGAAGAAGAAAAAAGAGCATAAAAAAACAGGTTTTAGATAATCTTTCTGTTGGGAATTATAAATTCCAATGAAGAATTAGAAATGATTATAAATTTTTTGTTGTAACTTGTAATCTTCCTTGGCTCAATATTTTATAACCCAGAATTAACAACTGGCCAATGCAATCATGATAAAAATACTGGATAGTGACAAATGTAATCCTTTAGTGAGAAAATTGTTCCATTGTGAAAAATAAATAAAACAAGTAAAAAAAAAAAAAAAAAAAAAAAAAAAGAAAGAAAAGAAAATACCAATTTGAATTTAAAATTATCAAATAACTTCCCAGTCTTTAATGTAAGTTATATTAAAAATATCAAAGTCGAAAGCACAAAAAGAAAATTATACAATCATAAGTAATGGAAACAACTGTATGGGTTAAGTAATATTGTTTCTGTCTTTTATAAGATATTTTCTACTGAAAGCTTTTTTAGTGTTGCATCTTCATTCTCTCATCATACAGATGTGTCAGTCATGATTAACAAGATAATCTTTATAAGTATGATTATTATAGTGAAACAAAAGACTGGTTAGTTTTTCTGAAACAAAGAACAAATACATATTACCATAGTATAGGAAATTTTAGTGCCTTTTTGGCAGTAAAAAAAAACACATTGATTTGGAAATTCTTGCAAAAATCAAATAATTGTTGGATTTTAATGAAATATTCAGGACTTATTCACAAATGAATAAAATTATTTTTTTTTAATAGAAAATCTCGGTAAAAATACATATATATTTTTAACATTTGTTATCCCCCACTTGCTTAATTTTATGAAATTTTGAGAAATTACGCCCCCCACCTATTTATAATTAGTTAAAGCAGGACTACTTGGAGAATTTAAATCAATTTGTTTTTGTCAAACAGAAACACCATTTTCTGAAAATCTACTCTGAATCATAAAATAAAAAAAATGCAATAAAACTAAGACATTATTTAATTAGAAAATCTTTTGTTTTTATAAATAAGATATATTAAGGACAGCATTGTCTGAAAAAAAATTTTTTTTGATGAATTTTTACAAGAATTGTTTTCATTTTCTTTTAAATTTTAACTAGAATAATTTATTAAGATTTCATTTTAAAATTCTCTGTTAATTTGAGCCTTAGATAATATTATTAAGTAAAAACTATATATTAATCATAAATGGAAAAGCTTAATACAAACCATCAAACACCAATATTTTTAAAAGAATTTTGTATGTCTATATATGTGCCAATTTTTGTAGATACAGTGGTTCATACATGACATTATCAGAAAATAAAGGTGATAACTATAGTAAATTTAAAGCCAAAATAATTCAATAAAATATTAGATTATGGAGAATATTTTCCTAAATTTTTAAGATTACTGAGTACTTAAAAATTATATATAAAAGGTGCTCACATTATATTTTTTTTAACAAACTTTATGAATTATATATCGTTTATAAATATCTAATTCTTATTAGCCAGGTTATAAACCACCATGAGCTGAAAATGGGAGATTTGTTGAGGAAAATGCTAAACTAAAAGCTAGAATCAATAGTCTTTGAGAGAGAAAAACAATTTCATAGACATCAATAAATTGTTTGGAAAAGAAAATATTAAGAATTAAAAAGCAATGTTGTACCTTTAACTATGAAGCAAATATGTCTTAGTAAGTTAGATTAAGTTTGTATTTGTACTTTTAACACTTATAAATGTATGAACATTGATGAAAATGTTATCAGGATCTAAACAGTTCTTACAAAAGCTGTCAGGTTTTCTTAAACTAATCTTTCACACAACTTATTCCAGATTTTTTTTTTTTTTTAATATCCGTGTAATTTGTTCAATAATTCTAGAATGGGTTATATAAGTTATTTTGTAACATTTATTCTTCTTCTGCATTAATGAAATTGCATTCTTACAAATAGATTATATTATTCTCTACATCACTGTCAACATTTTTGTTTTCTTTTTTACTTCAGGACATACTTTAAATTTTAATAGGGATTGTATATCATATATATATATATATATATATATATATATATATATATATATATCTCATTCTTGTAGTAGGGTTTTCCATAAAATCTTGTTTGTGGTCCTTAAGAGTTATGTAACATTCCTTTTCAGCAAATTTGCCTACTCTATCGCTAATTTTTAATTTATCAGTAATTTTTTTATTTTTTTATTCTTGTAAACTTGTAAAACTTGAGATGACCCATGCCCTTTATGCCTACATGAAAAACTACACATTATCAAGTTTCTAAATAATAAAAATTTATTAAACAATAGACACGAGTTAACGGTTTTTGCCGACATCAAATTTTCGCATTGAATAATTAGCATAAAAAACATACAAACTATAAAATAATAAATACAAATTTTAAACTCCATAGTCTATATAAAAAGTTTAAATGCCCTACCAAAAAAAAAAAAAAAAAAAAAAAGAAAAAAAAAAAAGAAAAAACCCTTTATGAAGTTGTCAAAAAAACAAATGTTAGCGAATTATGACAGTTTTTTTTATATACACAAAACCCTTTCAGGAAAAAAATAAAAAATAAAATAAAAAAATAAATAAATCTCCATAGACGCTTAACCAGACTAGACGATGTCATCTTCCGCTTTAAATTTAGACACCCTAACCTTACCGACCTCTTTGAATGTAACCAAGATATTGATACAAATTATTAACCGTTACGCCCCCTTTAAAAATTGCTCTAGCCGTTACCATCGTAATTTTAATTTGAATAATGAATATGCTTATAAAACGTGTAAATTTCAGGAATTAGTTATTCCGAAAAATATTTCGCTTGAAGATAGAACAAATAATTATATTGAGGTTTTCGGCTCTTGTTTTGAAACATGAGAACTCTTATGTAGTGATGGAATCATATTTTTAAATAAATTACACACACACACACACATATATATATATATGTACTAGCTCAAAAGGCTCTTGATTGGGCCTTCATAAAAATAGGTAGGAGGAGTAGATGCTATAGGCAACATTCAACTACAGAACTCAAAATTCATTGCTACATTTAAGTATTGCATTAATATTCAGGCTTAAAGTTTCAATGATAATTTTCTGCTGCCATTTAATTTAAAGACAATTTGATGTATGTAGTCCCTTACTTCCTTACAAACAATTATTTTTATTTCATGGGTGACTTTTACTGGATTTTGCAATTAATTTTGATTATTCCCAAATTTATTTTCAAGTTATAAAATTTGCTATTGTACCAAAAAATTTTGTTGCGAAAATCCTGTTAACAAAAATCACTGAAAACAATCGCAGTAATGAAAAGTTGGTAATCAAAAATTTCAGGATTGTGGGTCTGGATCAGGCCCAAAATGTTTTTAACTTGCTCATGGAGTCGGCCCGATTCCAAAATTATATGATATGTGGGGCTACGGCCTCTAGAAGTAAAATTGAAAAAGTGTGAAACACTGACATTCGCATTATGTGTGTGTGTGTGTGTGTGTGTGTGTGTACATGATTTTGCAAATTGTTGAAAAAAATAGGGAATAGTTCAGTTACTATTTACTTAAAAAGCATTAGATATTTCAGTATAGTCAGTGAAGAATATTTATTACTTAAAAAATAAAATAAAAAAATGTTCTTCCCATATATCAAAGTTCAGATCTTATGTATGAGATTTAGTCTAACTTTATGAGGTTGTAAAGTTTTATCAGCTTATAATTGTTATAAGAAAAAATAATTAATAAATTACTGTTCTGTTAACTTAGGGCACACCTGGCTACTTTTCAGGATGCATTGGTTGAGAACTGCTGCTCTACATCGTTAAGGGAAAAAAATGGATCTCAAAAACCTGATATTTGATTGCAATTATGTTAAAAGCAATCATTATTTGAGAAAGTAATAATCAAGCATCTTTTATGCTCATACCTCCTTTAGTTATTTCAATTTATGAAAGATGTTCAAAAAATAGGGAACAAACATTTACTTATCCAATATGTTTAGAACTATAAAAAGACATTGTGCATATATAGTAGACCTACTGTTCTGCATAGTTACCATTGAGACTGATGTACTTGTCATATAGATGTATAGATATCCTCCTTGAAGACTGTGGCCTCAAGTGACTGGAGCTACCATTGCAACTGTAGCAAAAATATCATATATACAGAATAACTTCATGGATAAATGTTGTGTGAAGGGCCCAAAGAGATGATAATTTGAAGGAGCCAAGTGTTTGCAGTAAAAACTGACCAACTACATTGATGGAGTGACTATCATGCACCAGGATGACACATCTACACAAACTTCTCAAGGACATATGTCTATATTGTAACTATTTACATTGTTCAGACTGTTGTCCTCATCTTTATTGTCATATTCACAATATTTTGGCTGTTGTACACTCTGGCTTTCTTCAAGTGATATATGTTGGAATTTTGAACCCTTTATTTAATCCATGGGGGTAGATTGTTCTAGTTTCGCGTGCATGCCTTTCATGGCCCAATGGATAAAAGTGTTGCTTGAAATAATCCAGTGACTTGGTCCAAAGAATTGTGAGTTCAATACCCAGTCACAGTAGAGGTGAACAAAAACTTGGAGAGTTGAGTTACTAAAGAGAATTAACTAAAAACTGAAATATCCAGAAAAGGCATTGTACATGAAACTAGGACAATCTACCCTGGTGGATGAAATAAAGGGTTTGAAATTCCAATGTATATCACCTGAAGAAGGCCGGGGTGTACAATGACCAAAATGTTGTGAATATGACAATAAAGATGAGGACAACAATCTGAATCTCACACCTCTATCATTGTTTTTATGACATGCACTCAATGTTAAGGCTGTTCTAACTGTTATGATCATTGCATACCAGCTTTATGCTTACAGCTGTCACAAGGTTTTAATTCAGGTCAATTTATGCCTGTCTGTACTTACTTTTCAGACATCTGTCAATTGTATGCCTAACCTTTATTAACGATAAAAGCACACAACATCCTTATTCACTGTTTAACACAATTGTTTAATAATTAAGAGAAAACTTAATCCAGCTTTTGACAAGAAGTGAACTTTAGAGCTATTATCAAACAAGTTGCAGCAAGAAAAAGAAGAAAAAAAATCTTATTTAAATGCAAAGTTATATTGAACTTAAGTATTCTTAAGTATACTATTTTTATCAACATGGGCAATATTTTCATCTTGTCCAAACTCCAAAGATAAAAACAAATAAGTTTTAAATGATTCCTATCATCCACACCTAATAAGCATTTAAGAGAAAAACCTAAGGAATATATTGTAAAACATTTTTTAAATTTATATTACAAATTAGCAGAATGAGTGCAAAAAAACAAACAAACAAAAAAAAAAACAGTTGTCTGTAGTTAGTTTTTTCTTTTTTTTTTAAGAGCCAAATTAGATCAAAGCACACATAGCATTCACCTGAGTCAAATCTAAACAAATAAAAAAAGTCAAGCTAATAACATGTTGCCATGGATTCTGAATAATTATTACTGACCATAAGAGAGTCAAAGCTGAAATAACTAAATGGTTATCTAGATATTATTCTATCACAAGGACTTGTGTATCAGCAGAGAAATTGTTTACTCTATAATTTAAAGCAATATACAGTGTTTTTTTTGCATGATTATATTGGAACATACAACATTCCAGTTAATCCAATACGTGAATATTAGTGATTTATGTTACAATTTAATACATCCTATATATCGAGAAAGGTTTGAATGATAATTAGTGCTTATAGAAAAAAAATTTGTTAAAATGGGTTTTGCTCTTGGATAATTTTGAAGATGGAGCATTAGATTAAAAAATAAAATAAGTATTACATTCTATGAACAATAAAATAAATCCAATCTATATAATAAATGCGAATGTCAGTGTGTCACACATTTTTAACTTTAAGGGACACAACTCTCTAACTTTCAATAGCTCATTTCAAATGAAAAAAAAATTACTGTTCTCAAATTACAGTGTTTCAAAATAAAATTGTCTATATTTTCAACTTTATTCCTAGAGGCCAAAGCCCAACATATACCATTTTGGAATTGGGCTTGCTCCATGAGCAAATTAAAAACATTCCGGGCCTGATCCTGGCCTGCAATCCTGAAATTTTGGATTCCCAAGTTTCCATTACTGTAATTGTTTTCAGCAGTTTTTTTTTTTTTTTTTAACAGGATTTTTGGCAACAAATTTTTTTGTACAATAACTACTTTTATAACTTGGAAATAAATTTGGAATTGATCAAAATTAATAGTGAAATGCAGTGAAAGTCAATCATGAAATAAAAATAATTGTTTGTACAGAAAGTAAGGACATATGTACATCAAATTTTCTTTAAATTAAGTGACAGCAGAAGAATTATCATTGAACTTTTAAAAGGTAAGCTTAAATATTAATGCAATACTTAAATGCAGTGATCAATTTTGAGTTCTTCTTTAGTTTATTGGTTTCTATCATATCTACTCCTCCTATTGTGATGAAAGGCCAACCAAGAGCCCTCTGCAGGAGCTAGCTTAAATGCTGCATGATAAAAATGCAAATGGAAAAGTAATAAATGGTATAAACTGATAACTTGTAGCTGATATTGAGGTGAAAAAGTTGCATAACAAAATGTGAAAAGTATTAAAAAAATATTAAACCGATGTGGAGAGAGAGAGTGGCTTTAACTATAAATCTTTTGCAAAAGAACATTGAAGTCAAATATTCTAAGGTCAACTGTAAAACTTATCATTAAAAAATTCTGTCATAAGTAAATATATTTTTGCAATAATTAATGGTTAAAAGATTTTTATTTTTGCTTCATATTCATGACTAATTTTAATCTTATATATAGACTTATTTTGTTTTTTTTAACATTAGTCAGTTTCTTATAGAACTGATATTAACAACGAATTTGAAATGCAGTTAACTTATTCAGAATTGGGAAAAAGAGAAAAGAAAGAAAAAGAGAGGAGAAAAAGAAAGAAAAAGAGAGGAGAAAAAGAAAGAAAAGAGAAAGAAAAGAAAAGAGAAAAAGAGAAAGGAAAGAGAAAGGAAAGAAAAGAGAAAGAAAAGAAAAGAGAAAAAAGAGAAAGAAAAGAGAAAGAAAAGAGAAAGAGAAAAAAGAGAAAGAGAAAGGGAAAAAGAGAAAGAGAAAGGAAAAGAGAAAGGAAAGAAAAGAGAAAAAGAAAAAGAGAAAAGGAAAGAGAAAGGAAAGGAAAGAGAAAGGAAAGAAAAGAGAAAGGAAAGAAAAGAGAAAGGAAAGAAAAGAGAAAGGAAAGAAAAGAGAAAGGAAAGAAAAGAGAAAGGAAAGAAAAGAGAAAGGAAAGAAAAGAGAAAGGAAAGAAAAGAGAAAGGAAAGAAAAGGAAAGAAAGGAAAGGAAAGAGAAAGGAAAAAAGAGAAAGGAAAGAAAAGAGAAAAGGAAAGGAAAGAGAAAGGAAAGAAAGAGAAAGGAAAGAAAGAGAAAGGAAAGAAAAGAGAAAGGAAAGAAAAGAGAAAGGAAAGAAAAGAAAAGGAAAGAAAGAAAAGAAAGAAAGAGAAAGGAAAAGAAAAAGAAAAGAAAAGAAAAAGAAAAAGGAAAGAGAAAGAAGGAAAAGAGAAAGAAGGAAAAGAGAAAGAAGGAAAAGAGAAAGAAAAGAAAGAAAAAAAGAAAGAAAAAAAGAAAGAAAAGACAGAAAAGAGAAAGAAAAAAGAAAGAAAAAGGAAAGAAAAAAGAGAAAAAAAAAGGAAGGAAAAGAAGAAAAAAGGAAGGAAAAGAAGAAAAAAGGAAGGAAAAGAAGAAAAAAGGAAGGAAAAGAGGAAGGAAAAGAAAAAAGGAAGAAAAAAGGGAAGGAAGGAAAAGAAAGAAAAAAAGAAAAGAAAAAAAGGAAATAGCTAAAATCACGCTAAAATGATATTACTATTATGCACTTAGTGTTATAAAACACTTGATCTACCGCTCAATGTTGGTGGACAACAACTTAAGAGAAATAAGTCTTAGTTTTTTTATGTAATAATATTCCACAAGGACTATTAAATCTTCGAGGAGACTCCTACAAAGTTATTTAAAAAAACTATTGCATTAAGACATTAAAAATCTTTTGGTGGATATGAAGTAGGTGCTGAAAAGTTCTTGGCTGATCAAGGAAAGAATGACCTACAGTAAGGAAATGTACAAGCTATTTGATATATTCACCCCCACAGTTCAGCACACTTAGATTACTCATAGTTTCTGTGAGAAGGTGAATAAAATATTTTGTTAAAGATTTTTTTTTTTAAGAATAAGGAGAAGTGAGTCTTTGCAGATGAGCACATTAATATCTCGGCTTACTTTTCAATTAACTTATATGAGCAGATTTTTCTATCTTGCTTGCATAGATTTAGAGGTGATAAATGGACATTATCGTTTGCCAGGTGCATAAATGTTCAAGTGTCAGAAATTTATTCATATTAAGATAATTATAGTAATAAGAGAGGATTATCAGTCCCCACAGCCAGAAGTCAGGTATGGAATCTAGTTGGTCAACATAAAATTAGTTTTAGAAATGAACAGTTCCAACAAGGACAATTAAAATTCGATGAATAGAATTCTAAGTTATTTTACAAGATATGCTTTAAAAAATATATCTTGCTGTCAATATATTTTCTTGAATGTGATCCACTTGAAGGTAGCAATGAAAAGCAAAAGAATATGGCAGAATAGCCTTGGTGGTGATATGATAAAAAACAACACAGACAATAAAGAGAGAAGTATAAAATCAATGTAGAGAGACAAAAATGGTGTTCGTCAACAAATCTATCCTTTCAAGGCATTAAGCAGATGTTTTGACAAAAATACAACATTCAACTGTTTAAAATTCTAAAGCTATTTATTTCTTTTAGAGAAAGCTATAAACTGGTGTATTTCCATTATTATTCAGAGAACATTCTAAGTTGGGTTGCTCTTAAAGTAAAAGAGAAAAATCTAGACAAAAACAATTTTTTTTTCTGTCTGCATTACCAGCCAAGATTTGTTTTAAACTTTATGAACCCATCACCAGATATAGAAGAATAAAACTCCATGGGTCAAATCACTAAAAATATCCAAATAAAATATTAAAGTTTATCTGAATACTTGTAAATATAGGTTACTAGAGAGAAAAGGAAGAAAAAAGTGTAATAATGTATATTTCATTTTAAGATAGTCTAAATTAAGAGTTTTCATTAGTGTATAACTGGAACATTTCTAATAATTCAAGACAAAATTATTAGTATATTATCAATACTACTTTTTTTTTTAAAGACTATATAATAGAAGAATAATACCAATTATCTTGTAAGCATTACTCTTGAGATGTGTGGGTTGGAAATAATTTTAGCCTTGAATGTTAAGAACCTTGCAATTTCTTGTTTTGTATACTAAAGCATTAATATGGTAATATTATTTCCAGTTTGCATACAAGTTCCAGCTAGATTATTCATTATTGGAATAAAGAAAACGAGCAATAAAAAGAGACTTATCAGAATTTTTAAAGAAAGTATTTTATTTAGAGCATAATTTTCTTTTAGTAAAAACATACTAACCCTATTATGAGAGGGTTCTGAGAAATTCAGTCAGACTGACTTTCTAAAAAAGAACAGTATTTTAATAATCAAACATTAATGCTGATTTTAAGAAGTGGGTCAAGCTGATAATTTTCAGCACCCTCTCAAATAGGATAAACTAGGTCTCCCACTAATACATAATTATACCATACACACATAGTACACACACAAATATTAGTAGAAATACTAAAATAGGCATAAAAGAAAACAGTGTTAAGTGTATTAATTGATAAGTATATATATATATATATATATATATATATATATATATATATATATATATATATGCATAATGATCAGTGTCAGACAGGTTTTGTGTTTATTCTCATGAATTAAAGGCTGTATTATTGTTACAATGCACATAACAGACAAGTTAATTGTTCTACTGAGTGGAAAATATACAAATCACGTGCATTGATTGTATCTGTTAAACTAGCTGTGACTATTAGTACAACTATTATAATACAGCAATATTTTTTTTTCTTTCATTTTTATATTCCTCAGGCTAAAAATCTAATACTTGCAAAGACAGACACACATTCACAAACAAAATCTGAGGAATATCCTATTAGATTTAAAGTCTGAAATAATAAGACGATATAATTGAAATTGGTGCATAGTTATTCTTTTGACTATGGAATGTGAATAAAGATATATACTGATGCAATGTTTCAGTACACTGTCGATACCATACCACATTGCACAGCTACTGTTATTCAGGATGAACTAAACCTTATTAGATAGTTGTGCCTAAATTTTGCTACATCATTTGCTCATGATCTCATCTATGAAGGATCCTTCTATGCAGAGGTTCTGAAAATCTTTAAGCCCAACTAAAGGATTGATTATCTTATATATATATATATATATTTTTTTTTTTTACAGCTTATCAACCCTTTGTGAGTTTTTAAGGCTGAAACATTTTTATATTGTAAAAATAATTTTATTTTTGCAAGTAGATATTGCATTAACAATTTTTTTTTTTTGAGGACAATGATTTCTCTAGATACAATTCATACAATTTAACCCACAGTGGTGGGGGGATATGGATTCTTACATTTTTCAAGGGTAACTGCACACAAATCAATGCAACAAACCCAACTGAAATTTAAACTCAGCTGTGTCTAATTTCTCATTCCAAGCCACTCTACCCATTACACTACCTACACATCTTCCCAAGTATTATAAAAATAAATAAATCTGATCATCTGGCCAGATTCTGAGAAAAGATTCTCATTATTCACCTCAGAAATATATTGATCAAACGCAAATATGAAACAAATTTCTTAATTTAATGAATATGAGTGGACACTGATATGTTCTTGGTCCAATCCACTTCCTGGAATCTGACCAAATATCAGATTAAAAAAGGTCTATATTAGTTAAGCCAAGAACTTTCCAGCATACCCTCATATATAAATTTTGCATTTAAGTTACATGGTAACTTTACAATTTACAATATGTATTTTAATAAAATAGTGCCTATTTTCAAAATCACAGTCCAATCATTACTGCATATACTTGTGGATAGGTCATCCCATCATATAGGTCACACCCCTACTTTATGGCTTAATAATTGATGATTTACTGTTGACTTGCAGATAGGTCATACTATAATCTGAGGAGTTACACAGCCCTTTTTTAAATGTAAGAATTATCTTTATTGCTACCTTTATTTCAAAACTTACAATTATTAACACACTTTTGCAGTTAAAATACATTTTGTCAATCATCATGTAAGCAAAAGGACGTAAATGTTGTGTCAGTATTTTTTGAAGGGCTCTGGTTCTTATTGAAAGTCTTGTTACAATAGGCCCTTATTTCTTATGTCCACAACCCAATCATATAATTCTTTTTCCATATTTTGATATGGAGATACTGAATATCTTGCTGCTCTTTGATTTTGGCATTTCTTTAAGCTGATCTTTCTGCTTTCTCCATCTCTGACAACCTTTTCTGAAACTCCAAACTGCCTTTCTGCTTATCAATTTCCATGTTCTTCTGCATAATTTAGTACTTTTAATTTAAACCCTGCTTCATAACTCTTTCTTTTACTCATGATTAGGGTTTGCAAAAATTAAAATTATAAACTATAAATTTGGCTACCAACTATATCACTGCGCAATGCAAAATAGTGCAAACGTTTTTTGGTACTAGATTCGTGCGCTTTGTTATTTGTAAATAACACTTAAGAACTCCTTTTAATGTTCTATGAAGCAACCATTAAAGAAAATTATCTCAAAGAATATATTTCATTTCTTTAAGTCATATTTTCCAACGTATTTTTGACAAAATATATATATTTTGCAGAATGAATCGTAAGATTATTTTTTCTTTGTCAATAAGCGTCTACATGTGATTCCTTAATTCATGTTTGCATGTTCAGGGTTTTTATCCCAGTCTAGGGTGAGGGCCCTGACTGAATGATGACTGATGGATCAATGAATATTTTATAATTTTATTTATTTATTGTAATGGATGTGTGAATCTAGCAGCATGAGGTAAGTTTAAAGAAGTGAGTCAGTATATATGATATATAAAAAGGTTTCTATATGGAGAAAAACCACAGCTTTAGTGTTTATGGGTATCATTTCTGATTTCTCAGAAATCCTGATGACATGGTAGTGTTGTTTTACATTTATGTCAAGTGGATAGGCCGGAGCCATAATATTTTGTGAAATTTTTGATAAAAAATGTGCAACCTATCCGTAAGTATACACAGTAGTACCAAAGTTATACAGTTTCATGACAATATTTAGGTGACTATTTTAATCTTCTAACTTCTAGAAAGATAATTTTTGTTAAATTGAGTTTATTGCTTCTGTTTTCTGATGGCATCAAATTTATTTGAAAGTGGGAATTTTCAATATCTTAGAAAAGCAGAGATATAAACAATTTTAGATCAGATTTATTCTGGCACTATTTACCTCAAGGCACATTTTGATAAAAAACAAAACAAAACAACAAACAAAAAAATTTTCTAGTCTCGTTGCATGAGAGAGAGAGAGAGAGGTGAAAATATGACAATGAGTACTTACCTGAGAAATATGTTATTTATCTGTTTTCTAATGAATGCCCTTAGACCCAAGAACTTGCCATAAATTCTGTGAAGTACTGTCTTTAGAAAATCTCGCTCCCGAGGATCCTCACTGTCAAATAACTCCAATAACTGAAAATCAAAGACAAAAAGATAAATAATATAAAGATATCCTTCAATAGAGAGAGAGAGCTTAAAGTTTAAATGTACCAAGTACATCTTTTGATAGAATAGTGTAAAAAAAAATATTTCTAATTGTTCAGGTATAAAAACTGTAAGATCAACAATTGGTTACATCACATGTTACAATTTCATTAATACAAATTTAAAATTTTGGTCTATATATAAAATTCTGTAACTTTCAGACACACCCTTTAAAATAGCCATACATACAAATTTTGAGGAGAAACTCAAACAAGTAAGAGGGTACAAAGTACAGTTAGTTTAACTAGGGTGCATAAAAACCACAAAGTAGGGTTTTGCCAAATTATTTTTCCAAATAAATCAGTTTATTCAAATTTCAGCGATTGGTTTATGAAATTGAATGATACACGGAGTTTGTAAATCTCGACAAAAAAATGTTAGCAATAACTTCAATACTGGATTTTCAATACACTAATGCATGTTGCAAAAAAAATTCTAGTGAAAGATTTCCCCATCAATAAAGCCTACTCTTTTGTCGACTCAAAAAGAATGTATTATTCAAATATTAAATGTCAAAAAGAAAAAAAAGTTACATTTCTTTTTTTTTTTTTAATAAGCTTACAATAATTAGAACAATCTCAAGAGAATATAAACAAAAGTCTATTTTAAATAAATAAATAATAATCCATCAGTGCTACATTTTTTTTATCAAAATGCTAGAATAAATACTTTTCTTAAAATATAAAAGTTATATTTAAATCAAATCAAATGCAAAATTGAGCTCTGTATATTACATACTATGTTAATATTAGCAGAGGAGATTCAGAGATTCTCACAAAAATGATATCAAGGCTTTATAAAGGAAGCTTTGTAATTGATTAGAGTGCTCTAAGCTATTTATCTACAAAATATGCAAAAGGTTATTCTTCACTGAACCTTCACTGAAAGAGTAAGTTCAAACAAAAGATATTTTTGAGTAATAGCAGAAAGAAGTTCTGTATATCCATACATTACTAATGTTTAAATTTAGTTATGTATTGAAACAGCAGTTTTGGAATATACACCCAACTTTCTTGTATATGTGAAAGTAAAATCTTAAAAGAAAACTCTTAAAATGTTGTTAAGTAAATATCTTTTAGACTAGATAATTTGAGAGCTGATGGAAGATTGTGGTTTACATAAAAGATGTCCATTTTGAATATCCAAATATAGATGAGTAGATAGAAAAATGAGTACGACTGAAAGTGACCCATTTTAGTCCAAGAGAAAAGAGACTCTTTTGATAAGCATATAAAATGAATCTGTTTATTAACTTTATTCAACCAAATCTACTCATGATGCTGTAGGAAAGATACAAGTGCAAATTATAGCACAGATATTCACACTTGAAATTCTAAAGACAAATATAAATTAACTTACAAATATTAAGTTTTTCAATTTAAAATTTATCTAAACTGGAGAATGCATATTTTATGAGTTACTTTAGAAGGTATGTTAAGTATTTGCTTTCATTACTAATTCTGGGAAACATTTTAATCTACTGATGAAGCTCATCTGAGAATTGAAATATGCTCAAACTTATTTTAAAAAGTTCAATGATAAAACCTGACAATATAAAGTTAACTGTTCTTTAACCAGTCAAAAGAAAGCTTAAACTTGGAAGAACAGAGATGCTACACTTGGTAATCTGAGTGCTTTTTGCTAATTTCATATACTTTAGACAGATCTGTCAGTAAATAATAAAAATTTTCAACAATACATTACCAATAATAGTAGTTAAAATGCAATGTTTTTTTTTTTTAATTAAGGATTTGATGAAAGGAAAAGAGTAGAGGGGGTTGATTGATCAGTTGAATAGTGTTAAAATATTTGGAAATAAAAGTTTACCTTCTGACATGATTTCATGTTAAATAAATCAAATGATGTGCCAGTTTAATCATAAAAAGGATTCCCCCCTACACAGCATTTCTTATATTAATCAAAAACATGTGTTCCTCCATAGCCTTTTTTCTCATCTCTGGACAGAACATAATATAATATTCTTATTTGGAAGGAGGCAACAAGAATTGAGGCAAACTGAGTCACTGGGATTATGATCCTTAGGGCAGCATCACCCCATTGCACCTGACAGAAAAATAGGAATTTTCTAACATATTAATGACACTGGTTGCAGAGCAATTTTTATCCTCAGTTTTGTGTTAAGCTAATCCATGCGTCACATACTATCCTGTGTGAAGGTAATGAAGCATTACATCTAATTTATTCTATATTGACTTTTCTTTTCTCATTTTCTTGAGGAAATAGCTGAGTGTTGGTATGACAAAGAAAAAATACCAAATTTATAATTTTATAAATGTAGAAAGAAATGCATATTGTATGAGTTCTCTCTTTCTTATAAAAACATCAGGTTTTAGAAAAAGAAATGCATATTGTAGGTTTTACTCATACACACATCAGATTTTATTATGCAAGTCAATTTTCACAAAATATCTATATAAACCAACAAATGTTGGGAAAATTTATAGGATATACTTATATGGTAAATATGCCAGATAGATTTCAGCTTATATCTTTATTAGAAATATTAGTAATAACTAATTTGATGGTATGAGATTTTAATAGGTAACATAGTTGCTCATTATATTGCAAATATATGAGTTATTTTTTAATTTCAGATATATAAAAATTGCCATGGGTCATAAGAAAGATAAAGATTTTGAATGATGTGAATGCAATATTGGAAATTGCAAAAATGTTTTACATCAATAAATATATTAACAAACATGACTTGCCATCTCAGAAAATTAAAAGAATTCCTGTCTTCAATTCAATAGGTTCATTTCAGTTTGTTCAACTAAGAAAAATATATATAACAAGAATGGTTTACTTTGAAATTTTCATAGCAATCAACTTTTGGAAAAGTTCAAATCAATAATCATACATGAAAAATCTTTCTATTCAAATTTATTTTATTTTTAAATTTGTAAGTATAAAAATAGTTGTCCAAATTTTGTAATTGAAAATACAATTCACTTAAAACTGTAGAAATCTACATTGATGGAGAAAAAAGGCATTGTAATTTCTAAATCTAAAAAATGCAGATTATTAAAACATTGAGAAAATCCTTACATAATGACCAAATGGAAATTTGAAAAATTAATGCCAGTAAAGAGATCGATATAGTTGGAAAGCCAAACACCACAATAGAAATAATTTTATAGGATACTAGAACCCACCAGTCCAAATATGACAAAAAAAAAAAAAAAAAAAAAAAAAAAAATCTAAATGATAGTGGTGGTGGTGAGGAGGAAAAAGCAAAAAAATAAAATGACTTTATTTTCTTTTCCTTTTACAGAACTTAAAAAAAAAAAAAAAAGTAATTTAAAATATTCATTACATGATTAGTCAGTGTTATGTTTATTTACAAGGATCTATCCATATAGATTTTCTAGTTACAATATTGCAATTGATTAGATTTATTGTTGAAAAAAACAAACAAAAAATCTTTAAGCAAAAATCAGTTTCCTTACAAAGAATATATATTCTATTAATCTGAATCAATTGTAAAAATCTTGTCAGCATTAAATGACTCATTGAGGTCGATATGTGTAAAACAAAACAGACCAACCTAAGCAAAAACTTCTGATTTTTTTTTTTTCACAAAATATGAGAATGAGAACGATACTAATTTTTATAAAATCATCTTATTTTTGCTAGAATTTAAGAAATTATTCATCCAACATCAAAAGGCCAAAGTTTTTTCCTTTAAAAAAAAAAAAAAAAAAATTTCAAAGTTGTTAAATGTTAAGATTTTGGTGTTTTTCATCTTCAAATGATCACAGCTAAGGCTTTCTACTTATCAAAAAAAAAAAAAATTATTTTAAAAGTTTTAATTGAATTTTAAAATTGAAAAATGGAGAAAATTTGTCATGATAAACATACATAACAGAACTATGGCAGGAAGCAGCAGAAAACTTGCCTTTCTGTCTTTGATTTCTTACTTCTGTTTTGCTCCTTTGCCTCCTAACTGAAGCTACTAACTTTTCCATCCTTTTTGCCCAAAGAATGAGATGTATGGATAGAACAGGAAGACTGACATATAGATAACCTTCATTCATTTGATTCTTCCAAGTTCTTTGTGCCTGTGCATAGAACTACAATGGGAATATAGAAGCAGCAGGAGTTTCTCTACATAAACAACCCTACTAATGTTGCATGTTCACAATTTATCCTAAGGAATTGGACATTTAAAAAATTATAAGTGCAAGGGGGATAGCAAAAATTATCAACCATGGAAAAAATTTTGTTGCATACATAAACTCTTTTCCACCAAAAAGGGGTGTAAATGTAGAATATGGAAATGCTGTAAATATGAATTGTAATAGGACAAAGATTTTTCTTCACTGAAAATTTAACTTAAAGTTAGCAGCCTTAAACATTGTATTTATAATTTGATAAAGCTGTTTACAATGATTGTTGTTCTGATAAGATAGTGATTTCAAGGATAAAAAAAAAGCTTAAATATTCAGTTCAAGAAGGAAAGAAAAAAAAAAATCACATTTTTTTTTCTTTTAGCACAATTTGCTAAAATGATCAAAACTATTCTTGATAAGCATTTTTTATTTAATTGCAAAATTACCATCCTATGCAAAATACAATGCAGAATTAAAATTTCAATTCAAGCTATTTGTAAGAGTAACAAAATTATTGTTGTATCTGGGCACATCCATAAGATCAAAGTCAAGTCATATGATGGGCTTGACATATCAAATCTCCTACACAAATACTCTATCATAAAAATAGACAACATAAAACAAGTGGCAGAGAACAAAATCTCAAGTGGATTTAAGATAGATAAGAAATCAAAAAGAGAAAAACAAAAGAAACTTTTGCTTTTATAAGTCAAAGATAAAAATAGATGACCAAAATGAATAACATCCATCTAGTTCTAAGCAGATATAGGATTGACATTCATATCCAGATTTTCC